CCCCTGCTCAAAGCAGGACCAATCCCCAGACAGATTTTTGCCCCAGATCCCTAAATGGCCCTTTAAGGATTGAACTCACAACCCTGGGTTTAGCAGGCTAATGCTCAAACCACTAAGCTATCCTCCCTCCCTTAGGGCTGCCAGTCCTGATGCTCTGAGCGGCATGGTAAGGGGATGGGGAAGAGGGGTGGTTGGATAGGCGTGGGAGTCCCAGGGGCCCTGTCAGGGGCCGGGAGTGTGGATAGGGGTCAGGGCAGTCAGGGGACAGGGGGGCTTGGATGGGGGGGTCCCGGGAGGGGGCGGTTAGGAGACAAGGAGCAGGGGGGGTTGGATGGGTGGGGGGTTCTGAGGAGGACAGTCAGGGGGCAGGGGGTCCCAGGAGAGGGTGGTCAGGGGACAAGCCTATTTTTACTACCTGACAGATTCAAAATAATTTGACATCATCTGTTTCATATTTACAGGCAAGAACTTCAGCCTGGATCTAAAAGCATTAGAAATATTCAGTACACAGCCTCAAATTCTTCCCTGTCTGCTCGTAACTGAGCAGAGAAGTACATGCCCACTATACAGGTACTACATGACAGCAAAGCACCTAATCAGTAGTGGAGTACTTCCCACTTCCTTGATGTCATTACCATGAGACAGAATGACGGAATGCTTCCAAAAAAAAAAAAAAAAGCAAAACTGTTTACTAGAGAGGGAGAAAGCAAGTCTGAAATAGCAAAGCTCAGGCAGCTAGCAATGGCAGAGGTAACTCTTTAACTAACATACACCGTAAACAGGCTGTATTCCTCCCACAGCAGTCTTATTTAAAAAAGGATGAAAAAGCAACCATCAGTAGTTAATGTTTCCTATACACAAGCTTGTTAGGATATGGAAGGCCACTTGAAATCCTGAGTGTAAGCTGCCTGGTTTTGTGTTAAAAGTTATTCTTGAACGGGCAAGTGTGCACACTGGTAATTAATTCAAGAAACGTGAGGAAAAAAAATATAGCAACAAATATGCACTGAAGGTTTTTCCAGTTTAATGCTCTAGATTTCTGTGGTAATGTAATCCTTTAAGTCATCTCCCTGATTACTCAAAAGTGCTAAATCTTACTTTGCCGCAATATGAAGCAAGCTCCTCTTCACACGTCCAAATGCATAATTCACATCAAATTTTGAATTTGACAGTAGCTCTGAAACAGACCTTAAGCAGATAAAACTGTGTTAGGGAAAAAAGTCTAAAGATAATTTCACCCACTTTCAGATATGCATCACAACATAAAGTATTCAGTCATGCAAATAAAATGTATCTGTTTTATAATCATCTCAGGGTACCATTTTTCTCCTTTACAGCCTATAAAAAAGGCAGGGCTCCACAGCTCTGTTAAAATACCTGAATACTAACCTGCAACGCCCTTGCTCTTCCACTTCCTAGTTCAAACTGACATCAGCAAATATGCCATATTGTGTCATTATTTTGAATGTACATTAATGTGGACTAGGACAAGATGTTCAAGACATTTCTTTACCATGCTAAGCACTATACTGACTTTGCTTTGGACAATTATAAATAAATGTATGCCAATACTTCTCCCCACTCCGCTACATGTTCCCTTCCACATTTCTGGCAAGTTCCCTATGCATACACCAAGTTTAGAAGGAAAAAGTGCCAGTATAATTAAATGTAAGGAAGATTGTTAGACTGAATTGCCATTATTATACAAGAAGTCTGACTACAAGATACACACCTTTCAAATTAGGCTCAGGCTGAAACAACCTGGTGACTTGCAGTTCTGTTTATGCTGTCCAGGAGGCTGCATAATTGGAACTCTAGTATACCTGTCAGCATAAACATATTGTGGAGAAGGACCAACATCCACGCTGATATCAGATCAACAAATTTCAGTGCTTCTTACTTGCCTACAAAACTCAACAGGGGCGGGGAAGTAGCAGCAAACTTGCTTGACACATCCCTCAGACAGATTCCAACAGATTCCCCACTTCCCAAACAGCTGTCATTTAAGAAGTCCCCCAGCCATCAGTCTTGTCTGATCAATACGTGTTGGACAATCTCCTCTACAGATAAGATACTATGAGTTTCAATACCAACAGTACATCAACTCCTATCGCTACATCTCATTCACAAAGAAACTGCCATTGTTCTCTTCTCCCAGTACTCATTATATACTGGCTCCTTCTCCATCACTGGACACACTTCAAACTCCTGGTCTTACGCACACACCCAGGCATTTCCAGGATTGAGTCAACCAGATTTCTCAGGTACATAAAGTATATACATAGTCATATGCAAGTTTGGGCATTCAGTGGGCTGGGCCCCAGCTATGCAAAAATCTTCTCTCTGGGCAGGTCTACACTACAAACTTGCATCAGCACAGCTATATCAATGCAGATGTGTCACTGTAGCGCTTCTGGAGAAGACGCTCTAGACAGAAAACACCTCCGCAAAAGGCAGTAGCTATGTCAGCAGGAAAAGCTCTGCCACCGACATACTGCGGTCTACACAGGGGGTTACGGTCAATATAATCACCTTGATAGAGGTGCGAAAAATCCACGTTGATAGAGGTGCGAAAAATCCACACCAGTAAGCAACCGTAGTTATACCAAAGAACGTATGTAGTACAGACCTGGCCTTTGTGACCCTGGATGGCAGCTCAGCAAGAGAAACCCTGGAGCCAACACTACTTTAATAAATACAGCTCTACTAAACATGTTGCTTTCTATGCCCTTAAAAATATTTAGTTGTAGACTGCTACGATGGACGATGTTTATTGTTATTACCATTTAGACTGATGTTAGACAGACAGACTTATGTTTGCAACCTTACAAATAAGAGAATTTAAAAAATAGTAATTTATGCACAAACCTGTAGGAAGAAACACTTACCTGTGCTGGTCAGCCATAACCATTGGCATTAGTGTGTAGACAGCAGTTTCATTATCTGTGCAGAAATTAGATTATTCAGTTACCATAAAATCTTATGTGTAAATTTATCCAGTAGTTATTGTCTGTTTTTAGAAGTTACTGTAGATGAATAGACTATTTACACTGTATGATAGATCTATATATAGATCTGACTGAAATAAATTATTGAACAATTCTAAAAGAAAAGCTACTGCTGTTTAACATATTTATATGGAAAATATGTTAAAATAATATTTTATGATGTAGTTCTGCTATTACTGTAGGTGAAAGCAAGCTGTTCTTTCTAAATAAGAAAAATGTACGTTGCTAATTTTATTTTTAGTTTTTAATTTTTTTGTCTATCCTTTTATCCTTCTGATTGCTGCTAAGTTCTCATTACTGAATTGTCTCAGTATCATGTAAGTTAATTTAAAAGCTAAGGATATTTTAGATTTCCTGTATTTACATATTATTTCTATAGTTGTGTTACTACTGATGTTACTAAAAATGATTTTTTTTTCAAATCTAATCTACTTAACACTATTAATGCTGTCGACTTTTTTGTCTCAACTTATACACTGAAAAATAGTCAATTTCCCCCTTTTGTTTCTAGACCTTCTCTCTTTTTGGTTCTGACAAAACCTGGTTCTGGTTCTGACGCACAAAACTACAGTGTTTGGGTTCAAACACTGTAGCAGAATTACTGCTGAGGGAATTCTGCACCAAAATATAAAAATTCATTTATTTTAAATTCAATATTTTAAAATTCTGTAAAATTCTGCATATTTTATTTGTCAAATAAATATGGCAGCGCCTACATGGCAGTGGGAAGCATGGGTCAATGGATGGGAGATCACCCTGCAGCCCTCCCGCCCCGAGACATGGACTCAACGGTGAGGCTGTACCCGACCCTGACAGTGCAAGGCCTGGGCCTGGCCCAGAAACACCCTAGGGCCTGCACCTCCACACCAAGATAGCGAGCAAGAGGAACAGAGTCTCACATGCACGCCCAGCCCTGGCCTCCAATCCAGGTATGTGGCAAGCAGGCTCAGCCTGGCAGGATCCAAGTGTGGAGGGACTTAGTATGGGGGGGGATCCAGGT